ATATTTATTTATTTATTTATTTTAATATTTTTTTATTGATTTTTTACAGAGAGGAAGGGAGAGGGATAGAGAGTTAGAAACATCGATGAGAGAGAAACATCGATCAGCTGCCTCCTGCACACCCCCTACTGGGGATGTGCCCGCAACCAAGGTATATGCCCTTGACCAGAATCGAACCTGGGACCCTTCAGTCCGCTCTATCTACTGAGCCAAACCAGTTAGGGCCCAGCTCTACATCTTCATACAAATGACTTAACCTCTCTGAGCCTTCTCTTGCCTATAAAAATGGGGACACTCTCACCCCGCTTTTAAGGGTTGCTATAAAGACTAGTTGAATTAACATATGTGAAAATAGTAACCCAGCAGTCCACATACATAGTAGCACACACAGTAGGTACTCAGCGTTCATTGCTTCTTCCCTTTCCTTCTCTCCCCTTTCCTTCCTCTCTGGCACCAGCAGCAGCAGCAACAGCTTTTCTGGGCTGTCATTCCGACTCTGTAAGCTTAGTAGCTGCAGGAAATGTCCAAGATAAGACCAAATGTCCAGCTGGGATTAGCTGTGTCGCTCATGGTCTCTGCACTAACCAGGGGGCTGTGTGCCCTCTCTAGAGAGGAACATGTGAGCAGCTCACCCCCCTGCCAGCCCCACCCAGCCCTGGGCTGAGCACACACCGTGGTGCCTGCCCCCAGGAGCTCCCAGCCCAGCGGGGAAGCGGACAGTAATAACTGATTACCTTAGGGAGATGAGGGTGACAGGGAACTTGACCTGGGCTGGGGGGAGGGATGGTCAGGCCAGGCTTCTCTGAGGAAGCGATGGTGTGAAGGGTGATAGGAGTTAACTCGGCCAAGAGGATTCCTGACCGAGGGAACAGTTTGTGCAAAGGCCCGGTGCCAGGAAGGAGCCTGCTGTGTCCCAGGCTGTGCAAGGTCAGGGCAGCTTGAATGCCAGCAGGAGAGGGGGAAACAGAAGCAATGCTGCTAGAGGGGCAGCAGGGGCTGGACCTTATGGGGCGGGATTTAGTTTTATCATTATCAAAGGGCACTGGGAAGGGTTTGAGGCAGGTGGGGGGTATGATGTGATTGGTGTTTGATACATTCCACCGAGGAGTGGGGATTTAGTGGCAAAGATGGGTGCCCGGACCTCAGTTAAGAGCCCCATCCATAAGCTCATAAGCAGAGAGAGAGCCTTTATCTTTTCCCCAAATTCAGAGACTGCAGGCCTGTCAGTGCCGCACTGTGCAAACCCAGGGCCCTCGTGGAGAGCGCTCCGTACCGTTACAAAGGGCAAATCATCCATTTTTTAAATTATGAAAAACAGGCAGTTTCTGCACGGTTACTTCAAGGTCTGCACAGGACGACCTGAGGGACCCCCTATATTCGGCTTCCCTCTGTGCTGCTTCCCATTTCTCCACCCGTATATTGTGTATATGTTGGTGTTTGTCCCTGTACTGGCCTGTTGGGCTCCCATCACAAGGGACCACAGCTGGGGCTTAAACACCAGAGCTTTCTTTTCTCCAAGTTCTGTGGGCTGGAGGCAGATCGAGGTGTCAGGAGGGCTGGGTCTCTCTGTGGCTTCGAGACGGCTGCCTTCCCTGTCTCCACACGGTCGTCCTTCTGTGTGCCTGTGTCCTAATTTCCTCTAATGAGGACACCAGTCACAGTGGATTAGGGCTCACCCTAGTGATGTCATTTTAACTTAACCACCTCTTCAAAGACTCTATCCCAGAAAGACGGTCATATTCTGAGATGTTGGGGGTTAGGGCTTCAACATATGCATTTTGGGGGAGATACTACTCAGCTCATAGTAGTCCCTATCACACCTTCCATTTAGGGACTAAATTAGGAATTGCCTGGGCCCTTTGTTTCAAGCCCGAATCACAAATGTTGTGGGGTGCGATGGGGAGCCTCATATTTCCCCATGATCTGTGCCCACCCTGTCCCTTGTCGTATTGGTGGCATATGGTCCTCTGCATGGTTGGCGTTAGTTCTCACCTCTGCCTCTGGGCCCCTGAACCGAACGACTATCCCAGCTGGTGCCCTCTGGGCCTTGTACCCGCCTGGGTCTCCATGGCAGCTGCCCTCCTGTGGTCCCCAGGCCCTGGGAGTGGGCACTGCAGGTCTGAGAGGTGAAGAGAGGCTGCGGCTATTCATGGGGCATCAGCATGGCAGGATGTTGGGGAGCCGTGAGCCTCGTGCCTCCTTTCCTGAGTCCTCAAGCTGGGGGTCAGTGGGCCCTCTGGGGCTGAAATCCGAGAGCCCAGAGCCCGGCCTCCGATCTGAGTGGTTCTGACCGCCTGGGCACCTGCGTGCTTTGCTCCAGCCCAGAGCTGTGGCTCTGCTTGTGGTGGAGACTGTGAGTCATTGGGAAAAGGTTAAATTCTCATCTATGACCTGAGGGGCTTGGATGGATGCGCTCCAAGGCCCTTCAGCGCATGATGTCAGCTGGAGTTCTGGCTGAGGAGATGGGACCTGTGCGATTCATCTGGGGGGATTCTCATCCAACATTGCTCCTCTCCGTGGTCAAAGTCAGTGAGCCGGAAAATTCCACCCAGACAAGCCTCACTCCTGACAATATCAGATTGTGAGAAATTGCACTATGATGATTTGTTATGAAAATGCATTGTCCCTATATTGTAAAAATATCGACATTGAATTTAGTGATTCTAGAGCCTCTTTATTTTTAAACTAGAGGCCCGATGCACGAAATTCGTGCAAGAGTAGGCCTTCCTTCCCCTGGCTGCTGGCACTGGCTTCCCTCTGGCACCCGGGACCCAGGCTTCCCTCATAGCCCCGGCTTTATCTGGAAGGTCGTCCGGAAGGACATCTGGTCTAATTAGCATATTATGCTTTTATTATTATAGATCAGCTGCTGCCTGTGCTCACACCCAGATGGTCTCACCCACTGGCTGCCCTCTCCTGCCTCCACTTCCCCATCTTTCTGGGGTGGAGCCCTCACTGAGACAGGAGAGGGGCTGGGGCCGGGGCTGGCAGGGTTCTCCAGGCCTCTCTGAGTCCTGGAGCCTGGCCCTGCATGGGCTCAGGATGCGTTTGTTAAGTGAATGAATGGATGGAAAAGTGAATGCGACCAGAGTGAAAACGAGGAGGTCATGAAAGAAAAGGGGGGAGGGGGGAAAGGAAAATGAGATGACCATTATCATCTCATTATTATTGCCATCTCTAGCACATGGCTAGAAACATCAAGTAGAATACGAAAGTTTATAATAATAAAAAGTGACAGTCCCCTGCCCCACACCTACCCCCACCCCTGCTGCTTCCAACTCTTGGCTGTTTCTGCGGTACCTGCTCCCATACCTCTCAGTGCCACGTGCACGCTGCTGTCTCCTGACTTGCCCTGTTTGCAGAGTGTCCCCTCCCGTCCTGCCTCAGCGATGGGTGAGGATTCAGCTCCCTTAGCCCACACCCAGCCCCGCCCCACTTTCCTGGGTGAGGACTGTTGCTATTTGTAGTTCTTCTATCTATAGATTGCCCAATAACCTGTTTCTTTTTCTACTAAATATTGGCAGTAGCTCTTGATCCAGCACTTCGTGATATGAGGCTGTTAAAGTTACCCCTGCTTTTTAGTTCCAGCCTCTGGCTTCGGTCATCCATGAGTTTACCTTTAAAATGTCAAGGCTGCTAACATGTACATTCTATGTGTAACCATAGCAGCCTGTTGCAGGCTTTTCTCTATAGGTTGATTCTAAAATTTGAAGATCAGATAATGGTGATTCTATCTTTCTGTACATTTCTCCCCCTCCCCTTTTTTTCTGAAGCTTCTAGTCATCTTTCCCCCCTTGAACTCTCCTGTCTCTATTATGCCCTATTTCCCCCCGACTCCCACTTCTCCATCAACTAGGCATTCCCCCAGGCTTCCCTTCATCCTCCTGGCTCACCCCAGACAGGCTGCGTCCTGATAGGCCACACATCTTCTCCCCAGAGCTTCCTTCTCTGCCTGCTTAGGTCGGATTCACCTGAGAACCCATAGCTGCTTCTTTCTTGGTTTACTCCTCATTTTGCCTCTCCCCCCTCTTAAAGCAAAGTCCCCAGAAGGATGGCTGGGAGGTAAACTTTTGAGTCCTTCTGTGTCTAAATGACTTAATTCTTCCCTTATACTTGGTCGCTGGTTTGGTGGGGTTGGTATTTTAGGTGGAAGTCGTTTCCCCCCAGAATGCTGCTGAAGAGCTTCTGTCACCTGCTTGCACCCAGGGCCACACGCGCATGATACTGGTTCCTTTGGAGGTGACCTGCCTTTTCAGATCACGATGTTCAGAAACGTCCTGATGGTGTGCCCGGGATGCGCACCACGGGGACCTCTCCATCTGGGGCTCATGTCCAAACCCTTGAGCGTTCTCTTAGAGTTCTTTGTATTTGCTCCTCTTCATTTTTCTGTTTCCTCTTTTTAGTGCATCTAAGAGTTGAATACTGGCTTTTCTCGATAGCTCCTCTAGCGCTCATATAGTTTAATCTCATCTCTTGCTATCTCCCTGCCCTTTGCTTCTGCTTTCTGAGAAAAGTTCTTGACTTTATCTTCTATCTCATGTAGTGAACTTTCCCCCTCAGGAGCTCTGACTTTGTTCTCAGAGTGGCCTGTTCTTATTTTAAGGACCTCGTGCCTTCTTGAACTGCTCTGGGGACACTAAGGAGAATATCTTGGAGTTCTGTTTCATGCCTCCAATAGTTCTCTCTGTGGTCATATTTTTTAAAAACCAGTATTTTTATTTATTTATTTTTGTGTGTAGGCACAAATAGTGATTAATATGAAATAGTTTAATTAGGCTTATATTATGAAGAAAAATAATGAAAACAAAAAAATAGAAAAATGATGCCCATAATTATAACATACCAAAAAATCAAATATTTTCTCTTTTAAAATGTATTTTTCAATTACAGTTGACATACAGTATTATATTAGTTCCAGGTGTACAACATAGTGATTAGACATTAACGTACTTTATGAATTGATCACCCCAATAAGTCTAGTACCCCTCTGACGTAATTATGACACCCATATGACACCTTGGATGGTTATTACAGTGTTACTGACTATGTTCCCTAAGCTGTCCTTTACATCCCTGTGACTGTTTTAATAACTGGCTAATTTGTACTTCTTAATCCCTCTCACCTTTTCACCCATCCTCTCAACCCCCTTCCCATCTGTGGACCACCAATTTGTTCTCTGAATCTATACATTTGTTTCTGTTTTGTTTGTTCATTTTTTAAAATTCCACATATAAGTGAAATCATATGGTATCTGTCTTTTCCTGTCTGACTCACTTCATTTAGCATAATACCCTCTAGGTCCACTTGTTGTCACAAATGGTAAGATTTCATTCTTTTTATGGCTGAGTACTACCCCATTGTATATATGTACCGCATCTTCTTTATGCATTTGTCTATGGATGGGCACTTGGGCTGCTCCATGTCTTGGCTGTTATAAATGACGCTGTAATGAACATAGGGCTGCATATATCTTTTCAAATTAATGTTTTGAATTTCTTCAAAATGAATTCTCTGTGGTCATTTTATCTGATGGTTTATCTTGGTCTATATCCTCAGGTTGACCAGGTGGCCCTTGGTTATCTATTCCTATTTGAACAATACAAAGCTGATAGGGTCTCTGAGGCTGAGAGTAGCTTTCATGGAGGGTAGGTGTTCAAGATTGGTCCTTTTGCTGTTAGAACATCCAGATCTTTTCACTGGGAGTGATAATTTTTTTTAAAAGCCGGAACTGACAGTCTGATTCATTCCCTCTTCCCTCCTCTGCTTGACATTAAATATCTGGCCGCTGTGGGGGTGGGCTTGATTGTTCCGGATGTGGACTCAACCAATCCTCCTTTTAACACCATGTCCCTGCCCCGCCCTCCACCCCCTTTAAAATTTTCTGTGCAAATCGGCTCTATCCATGGGCTATGCCCTTCCTCCTTATGTCACCCCTTCTCCTTCCATACACTTGTTGAAATCTCTCTTCCACTGAGACCTTCCACCCACTCCCATTATTCTATTCACCTGGTAGCTTATACCTGCTTTATTCTTCTGGAATGTGGTATCTTGGGAGAAAGGAAATAAGGGCCTGGGATCAACCCTTCATCTTAAAGATGATCTGTGCTTCTGTAAAGCAATTTATAAAATATTTTTACAAATATTATCTCTTTGGATCTTTCTGACAACCTTCGAGATGGGCAGGGCAGAGGTTATTGTATCCATCTTACAGATAAAGCAGCTGAGTCTCAGAGGGATTAAATGGCTTATCCGAGGTCACATTGCAAGTTGGGGATGGAGCCAGGATTCAAGGCTGGGTGTTCAGGCCTCAGCATTGGTCCATGTATGATGAGGGCATTGGAGGCTCAGAGAATGGGGCTCGGACGATGGTAACAGTCGAACTTGGGAGCCCGGCCTGCAGTGTTGCCACGGCTGTGTTTCTGGGAGGCGTTGGCAGTAGAGGGGACTGCTCTGGGGCCTGGGTTGCAGGAATTGGGGGAGGGAAGCAGTGTGTGAGCCAGGGTGCCGCTGTGCAATGACACTTCTCCTCTGGTGTCACGGGAGCTTGAGAGAGGAGAGCTGCTGTGGAGGTTTGGGAAAGCCAGAGGAAGGGTCAGGATGGGAGGTGGGCTGCTTCCAGCTCTTTAAAGCTGCCAAGCAGGTGTGTGAACTGGGTCTGAGACCCATGTCCCCCTCTGCTTCCCAAATTCATGGACTTTGTTGCTATCCGACTTCTCCTGAAACCCTCCCCCCACCTTCATGTGTCCCCTGTAGGTGAGGCTTGCCCTGTTTGGGAACAACTACATCCCCCTGCCGTTAAACACGGAAACAGCTCTGTTGAATGAACCTGTCATATTTTATTTTTTTAATCTTACAGTTGAATATTTGCCTTTTTAAAAAAAATCATGGACCCCTTTGGGAAGCGGATGAAAGCTTCCAATTCTCCCCAAGATGTGTACCCGGTGGACAAACGTGAGATTGTCACTATGATTCAGGGGGCTCATGGGTTCCCGTGAGCCCTTCAGTGGACCCCCGGGTAAGAGCCACAGGGACAGTAGTTTTCTGCTAACACCCAGCTCCTGGAGGCTGGCCACCTCCCCACTCTTCAGCAAACCAGAATGACCTTACAGGGCTGCTCTTGGTACCATGCCCAAGCCAGCCGGCTTCTGAACCGCCACCGCCAGGCGACCCCGGACAGCGGCAGGGTGCAGGCGCAGGGAGGGGACTGCAGTGGGCAGGAGATCATGGTCCATGCAGCATTTCTCCGTGTTCCTGAGAAACTCCAGTCTGCTGCACTGCCCAGGGGAAGACGGTCCCACGATCTAATGCTTTCCGCTGGTTTCAGTCAAAGCACGACTCCCACCGGATTTAGACGTTCCCTTCCCAGAGAGCACGTTAGGCACCACAAGCCGAGATGTTCAAAACCCGACGAGCGTAAAGAAAGCCTTGCAGATGGGTGTTCAGGTGAAAGGAACATGTCTCAGGTTTCTCACCTCTTCCTATGTGTCATCTGGAAATTGTGAGAAGGGCATACATACCCTGTGCTGAGCCCTACTGTGTGCTAAGCACAGTGTGAGGGATGCACAGACATTCCTTTGCCCTTTGTAGGTAGATGTTCCTGGGGCATCCAGGCAGGTCCTGGGGGGTGGGCATGTGAGGAAGAATGCTTTAAAATGTAGCCTGGCCTTTTAAAAATCAGATATGGTAAGACACCCAGACACAGAAATGACATCGTGAAAGAAGCTCTGATACTCCCAGATCCCTAGAAATGGGAGGCACTGCTCGCCATGCAGGGCCACCCCGGGAAGCAGAAGAGGTGAGGGGAAACCTGGGTGAGAGCCTTCATGTGGTTCTCACAGGGAGGAATGGCGAGGTGGGGTGGACAGGTTTAGGACTGGCCAGTTTGAATGCTCTCTATGGGCTCTGCGGCATAGGGACTGCCCCTAGTGGCCTGAGACCTGGCCCTGGCATGATTAGGGCGGTGAGCCAGTGGTTGGGTTGATAAAGAAGGTGGTTGCAGGCATGGATTCTGGATTGGTCAGTGTGATATGAAAGGTGTGCTTGCAGGAGATTGCCTGCCATCTCTAGGAATTAGCAAGGCCCCCAGGGCCAGAGCAGCAAGAATTCAGAAACTACAGTTAATACACAGGACCAGCCAGGATTTGGCAGAGGGGGGAGCAGGAGGGAGCATGTTTGGGAATGACGACACTCTGCCAGCCTGGCCCTTCATGGACTCTTCTGTCCTCCAACTCCCCAAGGGTGAAGCAGTCGGAGCTGTTCGACAGGTGGAGGAGCCTGCAGATGTGCAAATGGGCGATGAACATCTCCGAAGCCAACCAGTTCAAGTACCTATGACTCGTCTGTCCTGCCCCGGGGTTCTCTTCCTGCGGTCTTGCAAGGCCCAGCTCCGGGGCATCTCCTTGGAGCTGGTCCTGCCAGGGCTCTGGAGTCTGGGCAGCAGCGGCGGGGT